GATGCAGGGCTTCGCCTAAGCACTGCAATGATATGACCGAGGTGGAATATGGTGGAGGGGGGCACCGCACACGGCTAAGGAACGATCACGATGATCAACTTGTGTGTCTAGAGGTGCCCCCCTGCCCCCGTATATAAAGGAGGGAGGGGGGAGGTGTGGCCGGCCCCCTAGGGGTGCGCCTGCAGGACTCCCCCCTCTAGCCTTGGTGGAGAAGGAAAGGGGGGAGGGGAAAGAGGAAAGCCCCCCCCCCCTTCCTTGTCCTATTCGGACTAGGGGGGAGGGGGCGCGTGGCCTGCCCTGGCCGGCCCTCCTCTTCTCCCTCATGGCCCATGTAGGCCCATTAACCCCCGGGGGGTTCCGGTAACCCCCCGGTACTCCGGAAAAATCCCGGTTTCTCCCGGAACGATTCCGATATCCAAATATAGGCTTCCAATATATCAATCTTTATGTCTCGACCATTTCGAGGCTCCTCGTCATGTCCGGGATCACATCCGGGACTCCAAACAACCTTCGGTATATCGAAACATATAAACTCATCATAAAACTGTCATCGTAACTTTAAGCGTGCGGACCCTACGGGTTCGAGAACTATGTAGACATGACCTAGAACTGTTTCCGGTCAATAACCAATAGCGGAACCTGGATGCTCATATTGGCTCCTACATATTCTACGAAGATCTTTATCGGTCAAACCGCATAACAACATACGTTGTTCCCTTTGTCATCGGTATGTTACTTGCCCGAGATTCGATCGTCGGTATCCAATACCTAGTTCAATCTTGTTACCAGCAAGTCTCTTTACTCGTTACGTAATGCATCATTCCGTAACCAACTCATTGGCCACATTGCTTGCAAGGCTTATTGTGATGTGCATACCGAGAGGGCCCAGAGATACCTCTCCGACAATCGGAGTGACAAAACCTAATCTCAAAATACGCCAACTCAACATCTATCTTTGGAGACACCTGTAGAGCTCCTTTATAATCACCCAGTTACGTTGTGACGTTTGGTAGCACACAAAGTGTTCCTCCGGTAAACGGAAGTTGCATAATCTCATAGTTGTAGGAACTTTGTATAAGTCATGAAGAAAGCAATAGCAACATACTAAACGGTCAAGTGTTAGGCTAACGGAATGGGTCAAGTCAATCACATCATTCTCCTAATGATGTGATCTCTTTAATCAAATGACAACACATGTCTATGGTTAGGAAACATAACCATCTTTGATTAATGAGCTAGTCAAGTAGAGGCATACTAGTGACATTAAGTTTGTCTATGTATTCACACATGTATCATGTTTTCGGTTAATACAATTCTAGCATGAATAATAAACATTTATCATGATATGAGGAAATAAATAATAACTTTATTATTGCCTCTAGGGCATATTTCCTTCACACCCATCCGGGGTGCTTCGGCGTACCCGAAGTGAGCCGCAGCACTTGGCGCGGGCAGTCGTCGCACTGTATGAGCGGCATCGGTAGGCCACAAAGACGTTGCGCGAGCACCAAGCCCGGTGGACGGTCGGACGAGTCCATGCACGCAAACCTTCGGCGGCGGCGGGCGGACGAACCCGCGCCTGCATGCGGCGATGCGCCCTTGCCTGGGCTGCGGGAGAGGCTCCCTGACCACTCCATCGCCTGGGGCAGCAACCGGCGGCCGGAAAAAAGCCAAATCTGGCGGCCGGCGATGAAGCGTCGCAGATCTGCAAATCCGGTGGTCCGCCGACGCAGGGAGGAAGGGAAGGGAGGCCTTGTGCGCGTGGAGGCCTTCGGCGTGCTCCTGCCGGCTGCTCTCACCGGAATCTTGGGTGGCGGCCGGCGTCGGCGCGAGGGGGGAGGGGTGGTTGGTGGGAGAAAGAGCGGGATGAAATGCCTCCCCCACCAACCGCTTCCGCTTATATGCAGGGCACCGCAGCCGCGGGGGGAGAGGGGGACCCGCGTTTTCCCGGGTTGGGGCGGAGAATTTGCCGCGCCCCAAAAAAAATTGCGGGCCGGGGCGGGATGCGGGTTCTGATCAGGATGCTTTTTCGGCCCCGACCCGCATTTTGGCGGTTATTTTGCGGGTCGGGGCGGGATGCGGGGTCTGCTAGAGTTGCTCTAAGTGGGGACGTGTAAACACTCCTTCTGTATGGGTGGATGCACCTACAGTTTTTATTGCTAAATATTTAGCAGACGATGTGAGCATTATTTAAGTTCTAATAAAGCTAGTGAGGAAGGCCTTTTCATAAAAAACATTGTGTTTTCTCAAAAAGCAATCGCACCTCAGACATGTAGCTGTGGTGTTGGCTTGGGTGCAAGTGTGTGAGTATGTCATTTTTATTTTATTTAGTCATTTTTCCTCATTCATTAATTAAGAGGGAGAATGGAGTTTGTTACGCTTCGTAAGGCATTTATAGTGATTGATAAGATAGTCTTATCTAAAGGCTTGCATGTTATTTAGATGGCAATAACTAGCTATTCCTATAAACATGGTGAGACATATTATGCTAAGAGATGATTTCTTAAATAAGAGAAGATAAGCTTTTTCTTTTGAATTCTCTCCCATCCACCTCAGCATTTATCCTACATGACACTCCTAAGATAGCATCATTATACATGCCCTAACAATTTACAAGTAGGTTATTACTCTCTCGGCATTTTTTTTTCGGGAAAACATCCAATCTATTCATCCTCAATCATGGCAGTACAACGAACACCGGAAATAATAAAAGTTACTCCCTTCGTCTGGAAATACTTGTCATCAAAATAAATAAAAGGGGATGTATCTAGATGTATATTAGTTCTGCATACATCCCTTTTTATCCATTTTGATGACAAGTATTTTCGGACGGAGGGAGTATGTACATCTAGATCCGTAGACCACCTAGCGACGACTACAAGCATTGAAGCGAGCCAAAGGCGTGTCCACGTCATCGCCCCTCCCTCACCGGAGCCAAATTTTTTTACACCCGCGGCCATCCAAGGTAAAGCTTTATTCTTTTCTGCCCTCTCTTGCTAAGGGCATCTCTAGCCGTTCGGCCCCCCAGGGCGCCTAAATAGAGCGGCCTGGGGGCGTGCCGGTGCTAGTTCGGCCCCTGGGGGCGACCTAGCTCCCAGCCACGCCCCCACGCGCCGGCCTCAGGATGCGGAAAATTCAAACTTGGTCGCTCCCGCTCTTAAAAGACGCCGATCGTACGGACGTAGTCTGGCATTACAAAAAATAGAGCGCCGCCGTGCGCACCGATTCACTCGGCGGGGTCGGCTCCAGGCGTTGGCGGAGTCGGCGTGCGCGGGCTCGTCGTTGTCGGAGCTGCTTCGGTGCAGGGCTGCGTCGGCGCGGCTTCGGCACTGCTGGGCGGCGATGTAGATGTGTCGTTCGGGCTTGGCGTCCGTGTGGTCGTGGGCGTCGTCGGCGTCGTCGGCGTTGCCGTCGGCAGCTCGTTCAGGATGAGGCCGCGTTGCACCAGGTACCACGCCTTGAGCTTCTCGTCGTTGCTCTGGAGCATGTCCGCCCCGCTCATCAGAAAAGCCATGTCGGTGTTCCTCTTCTTCGCGGCGACGTTCGTCCGGAGCAGGTCGAGCTTGATGGCGTTGTTCTTCATTAGCGACGACCACCGCACCTCGGTCTTCTCTTCGCGTAGGATGGCCCGTGCCTGGGCGTCGGCGAGGCAATGCTCGATGGACTCCTGCACTCGCGCGGTTGCCGTGTCGACGCTTTTCCCCTTCTTTGCCAATTTGTGGCTGTCCGGCCGTCCCTCTGACGCGCCCGGAGTCGTCGCGTCTGGCTTGTATGTCTCCTTGGCCTTGTCGAGGGCACGTCGGACTTCCGCCCACTTCTCGCACTTGTCAATGCGCTTGTAGACGTGGAGGTGCTTGTATTCGGCGTCTTGGTTGTCGCCCCGATACATGGCGAACGTACGCAACAGGCCCGGTGAATGCTTCACGCCGCTGAACTTCCACCCTCCACTCGGCGTTCGACAGGCCCGGTGGCTTCGATGGCGGCGCCCTCGGCTTCCTCTGCTTCGGCTGGGCCACGGTGCCAGTCGCGGTTGCCGTCGCGCGCGACATGGCGTACTTCCTCGGCGGCATGGCGTGTTTCTTCGCGGCGAGCGGGAGGAGGTTTGGCGGGAGAAAGGGAGAGAATGGCGGGAGGGAAGCGAGCGAGCGGGAGAGATGCGAGGGAAAAGCGTCAAGAAACGGCGGGAAAAGGCCCTCGGTGCGCTTTCAGGGCGGGCCCACGCGCCTTTTTCGCTTCTGCCGGCTCCCCAAGCGCCCCCCAGGGTGCCGGGTTCGGCCTGGGTCCGCCGACACCAGTTTTGGCCCGAGCCGGCGAAAAACGGGCTTCTGGGGGCGCGACTGGGGCCTTTTTTGGCGCCGGCGCGGCAAAATCGCCTGGGGAGGGCCTGTTGGGGGCGCGGCTGGAGATGCCCTAACATAGCTATGTTCTCCTATTTCGGCCCGTCATAAAAGCGGTTTCTTTTTCTTCGTGTTAACCGAAGTATTCATTACAAAAAATGAATTCTTTCAGGAAAGATTAGTGTATGGTCGAATTGGTTATGGCCCAACCACCCCTACTAATTTTTTTGTGCTCCAAAAGGCGGGACTAAAATTAAGAACGTGCAAAAGTTTCTGTTTCTTTATCTCCAAAGGCAACGCGTTAGTCGCGGAGTAGAGCTTTACAGCGATGGATAAAGTTTGAAATATTAATATTTTGCCAACCTTCCATGCAGTGAGTATAATACACACACATATATATATATACACACACCATGCATGCATATGTATCCAAATTAAGGTTAGTAGAAGACCAATCATGCTTCTTATTTACACCCACATTCGTAAAGCGACGATAAACCTCGAATACAAAATTTGCAGGAGCCCATTCGCCGACGATCCGCATGCGAAAACGTTTGCTACCTACAACCCTAGCTACATGCGTCATGCGTCGCCATCATTTCAAAGGAGAAAATAAACACGAGGAGCGAAGAGCAAAAAGAAACATCATCCTTGATCGTCGTCTCAGAACCCTGGGACGAGCATGGTGGAGAACCAGATGACGAGGTCGTCGGCCAGGGCGCCCTCGCCGGCGTGCTTGGCCGCGGCCTGCCTTCCGCCGCCGTTGCCGTCGGCGACGTACACCCGGCAGAGCGGGCAGGTCCGCTTGCAGAGCGCGAGCCACCGGTCGACGCAGTCCCGGTGGAAGGCGTGCTCGCAGGGCAGCCGCCGCGTGGCCTCGCCGGCGCGGATCCTCGAGAGGCAGACGCAGCACTCCTCGCCGGCCGCCGGACGCTTCGCCGCCGCCTCCTCCGACGAGGACGGCGTCCTGATGCAGAGCATCTTGGAGATGTAGGAGAGGAGGTAGCTCATGGCGGTGCGGGAGCGAGGTCGAGGCGTCGAGCTGGTGTTGTGTTGGGTAGAGGAGGGCATATGTAATGGGGCCTTAGGTCGGGGGTCAGGTGGCTGGGCTGGTGCGGACGCTTTGTTGGTGAGGGTGCCACTATCCTAGTGTGTTGGGAGATCCCCGTTGGAGAGGGTGCACCTACACTGCGCCTCAACTTTATTTTCTCTATCGCCACCAAACCCTGGAGAAAGGAAGTGATCTTGTGCGCACACAAGACATGGACGGACGGACGGAGGTACGTTCGCTCGTTCGTTCGCGGCCGGGAGCATGTCGTTCTCAGGGGAGAAAAGCAATGTAGGAATCAAGAAATGCATAACGTTGGGTTTTTCTTTTTGTGTTGCAGGGACAAGCATTAGTTTTTTTTTTTTTGAATTAGGGACAAGCATTAGTTGCTGTGTCCATTTCCATTGCAGGGGCCACATATTTTTCCTTGGCATAAAGTTGACACTGATCTCGCCTGATAACATAAGGCAACGTTCCTGTACATGAGTCAAAACAAGTAGCACAAAACGTGTTTTTTCTAAACTCCAATGGAGCAAGTATAATAATGGTTTTTTTAATACAGTACAGACGCAAGCGGGAAAGTATCTACTGCTCCCAGATCTAGGGTGCTCCCGGTGCTTCGATGCGAAAAACATTTTTTAAAATGTTCAAAAATTTCTGAAAAAAATGCAGCACATCGACGGAACATCGATGTCTCTTGTCAGAAAATTTCAAATAAAAATTCGAAACATTGCTCGAGATACAAAAATGACAAATTTGACATCTGTGATAATGGGCCAAAACTAAAGCCCAACTTATGTTATGTACAAAAATTTGTCATTTTTGTATCTCGAGCAATGTTTCGAATTTTGATTTGAAATTTTGTGACAAGAGACATCGATGTTCCGTCGATGTGCTGCATTTTTTGCAGAATTTTTTGAACATTTTAAAAATGTTTTTCGGACATTTGGAGCACCGGGAGCACCCCAAGCCTGGGAGCACTAATACTTTCCCAGACGCAAGCGCTCATATATACATGCATACACTCACCCTATGAGCAGACGCACGCACACCCTACTCCTATGAACACCTCCGAAAGACTGAGCTGGCATATCATCTTGAAATTTACGAAGTCACCGTAAGCGTCTCGCCGTCGACAGGAACATCTCCTCCTACTGAATGCGCATCGCCGGAAATTCTGAAATAAATTCAAAAATAAATGCAAGCGCTAGAACTTCAACCGTGATGGGCTAAGAATACCACAATCCCTCTAACCATCCAACCACAGATTGGTTGGCTATAATAATGGGTTGATCCTCGTTCCTTTTGTTTCATTTGTAGTATTACATTTCTTTACACATATTATTACATTGTAAATATATCTTGTCTTTAATACATGATTCATGACAAAATAAAGAACAAACACACCAAATTAATCTTAGCTAGACATGTCATAGTTATTGTACATATAAGTGACTTGATCAAATTAAAAAAGAAAAGACAAAAGAAAAACCCACACGAATCTCCACGTAAAATCAATAACATAGGGTGTAGAAAACATCTAGATATGTTTTAGCAAAACTGTTTTTTGAAATGCATAATTTTAGGGCGTTACATCTGAAAGAACAAAAAACAAACCAATCCATATGTTTAGAGCATTAGTATTTGAACAAAAATATAATGAATAAATCTTGCCCGACAAGCCAGAAATACGACGTCTTCAATAAGTGCTAAACCACTGTGCAATTTCTCTAATAACTTGCTCTATGGTTGGACATGGGATGCTGTTACCATTCTGAACACATTCCCCAACACTGCATACTTGCGATAGGCAATGCAACTATGGTGTGTGTTCTTAACTTTATTAAAACATGACATTCATATAAGGATAGGGCACACAAAACACACACCCCATTGAAGAAAGTGCCGATAAAGCTATTCAGAAGTACAGACCAAATGATAATGATATCAAGCGTTGATGACACACAATAAAAGATATACATGACTCTGGAACAGTACATATACAATGGCCAATATGACAAAGCATTGAAAAACTTGTGTAATGACCGCTATTGTTTAACTGAAATCAAAAATTGATTATTGCTAAATACACAGGCTATAGAGGCCAGCCGGCATTGATGGTTCTAGTTTAAAAGACCAAGATTATTCGCCTTATCCCCTCCTTCTGTGCTGGTGAGCCATCTTCTCGGCGTGGGCCTTCCTGTCAGCGTGGGCCTTCCTGTCGGCGTACATTGGAAGGCTACTGATCTCATTCATCTCGCCCAGGAGCTTGTCTTCAGTAATGTTATCTGTGATGCTCCTCATCACCTGTCCATATATATTACAACAAGACAATGGAAATTGTTAGATTGTGTATGGCGATTCTGTTTCTCATACCCTCGATGCCTACACGGCAGGAGATGCGGTTAAATTGCACAGTAGATTCTATCATGTATGAATAGCGATGGTCTGCAATAGGAAGAAGGTAAAATGCAATGGCAATATACCGAGCTCAAAATTTATCAACCACCGCAAGTCGACATCATTTGACTATTATTAGTAAAACATTACAAATTGTATTGCAAATTGACAACCTAACCATGAATCAAACATGAAAGATGAACTCATTACATAAAACTGTATGTCTTGATTAATTTAGTATGATATGATTGTCAGGAATGCAAAATGACAATCGTCTGTCTTTTGGATGTACTCAGCAACAATCAAGACTGGGTATGGTCACTAGGCAGTTTAGGAAAGGGACGTTGAGAGCAGAAGAGATCATGTTGAATTATGAAGACGATGTACTACAGAACTATGATTCACGTGCAATACAGGGCCTGTGGCCTGCGCCACTTGTCCAATTTCTATATAAAGTGGATCACTAAGATACCGAACTTTGTAGGTGTGAATAACACGTATTGGATGACATCGATACCGGCACTAGTTTTCAGCATAATTTGGTTCAGGAAATCAAGCCCGTCCATAGAGAGGGAGGGAGAGGGAGGGAGAGGGAGGGAGAGAGAGAGAGAGAGAAATGCCTTTCTGTAAGTATTGATATCATTAGGAGTTGATTTATCTGCTCGGATTCGCATGCAGAACCAGCAGTCCTCCTGTTTATTCCAAGAGCACTCAACAATTTTCCCTGATATTGAAGATGGCTCTACATCATCTGCAGAAGTTCCAGCACAACACCCACATTTAGTCCAAAATGAAATCACATTACAACAAAATTGTCTGCTTCAAGAATTGAAACATGATGCCTCAAGAAATAACTGTAGTGGCAGATTCTATTTAAAGACAACATCATACAAGAGCCATAGTTCAAGACACAAAGTTAACAGGTATGTCAAGATTTTGAAACACTTGAGTAATTACAAATAAAGTAAAGCTGCACGATTGTGCTATGGAATGGTTGAAGAAAGTATTGCAAACACATCCTTACCAGCAAATACCACCCGGGTACCATCCATAAGTTTCTTTTTGCCCCTCTCATACAGAAAAATAAGCTGACGGTTTTCACTACCAGTCTGCAGCATTTAGAAATTAGAACGATGATAACTTGGAAACAGAACTCAGCAGATCACACATCCACATGAACAGATCAGATTCCACACCAAAAGTAGTTCTGTTTTAATATTTAACATTCAAGAATATGACAAGCATATACAAACCTCAAACAAAAAGTCAACTGAATTCATCTCTGGGTACTTCCATTTTAAAAGACCTTCGTGCGTACGATTCACGTATGGATCATCCCAGCCCTATATTAAGATTAACAGAAACACTTTAACATATGAAGAAAATGGAAGGGAAAAAAGAAGCCTGTTAAGCATATAACTTGAAATGCATGAAGAAATACATGGACTGATAAATAACAGCTGCATGGAGGCAGCTTTAGCTAGGTTTTCTCAAGTGACACAAAAGTTCATTTTAGCCATGTCACTAGTGACTCATCAAAAAGTCAAACAGTGTCTTGTTATGGAAATCAGAGCTGGGGCAGGGGGTATGCCCTTGAATGAACTGCAGCTATTTTCAGTGCACAAGTGTTCCTAACTGCATGTCATTAGCATGCTTTAGGGCAAGATTTATATAGATGATAAAGGATGATTGCTCTCAGTAGAGATCGAGTCCTTTGTTACTTCCATGACACGGGAACATTGTTATTAGTATGCAGTAAATTAAACTTGGAACACGACCACTTCCAGAACCAGTCCAGTGATAAAAGCCGGTTGACCAGACATACGCGCGGATACAGGTATTCCGCAGCATCCCATATTTTCTGAATTGAAAGAGGGGAAACAAATTGGGATAAGGCAGATACGGTGTGGACACAGTGGGGACTAAGAACCGGCCTCCAGCGACAGCGCTGGCGTGGCCTAGACTCGACGCCGCTGCCGCCTGAACTCGCTTCTCAAGTTGCCGGCTCGCCGCCGCTGTTTCCCCCAAGCCCAGCTCTCCCCCTGGCGAAGAACATCCAGGCAGAGAGGAAGATGGCAAGGCATCCGAGGATGAGGAAGAAGCTCTGGGCGGGGAGAAAGATGGGGACTGCAGCCGCCAGTGGGAAGAAGATACAGGCGGCGGCGCGGTCTTTTCATCTGCTATCAGGCGGCTGGAGGAAAAGAGAATGGTTGGAGGAGCTGACTAGTCTAGGGTTTTCAGAAGCTGGGTCTTATATGGCTCTGAGTGGAGAGCTACATGGGCCTGAGTAGAGGGTTCGTATGGACTGCCCAAAGACTTTTACCAATAGAAATGAATACATATCCAGTCTACTAACAAAAAAATCTCTTATCTAAAAATTATCATTAAATCTTTATTACATGCTGTTTATTTTTCTAAGTACCTATATACCCTGCCGTATCCCTGAATGGCTGTTTTTGGAAAATGCCGTATCCCCGTGCTCGTATCCCTGTGTCCGTAACTAACCCCGTATCGGTGCTTCTTAGTACAACTTTTTCTCTGCTGCCTTATAGTTATAGGATATAGCATTTCGACGTTCCAATTTCCATGGACGACGACCATCACGTATCAAAGCCAGAAACGACAAGACCACCCTACCTGAAATATAAGCCCATCAGATTCATGTGAAAGTGCTGGAATAAACTCCTTGAGTAATTTCTTCACCGTGGAAAGCAGCCAAAAATCCTTTCTCCTTACCTGATAAAAACCAAATATCATAGAACTGTTTATGGTTATCTACTGAGCATCGTACTGCAATGAAATAAACAAAATAATCCATCTAGATTTTGGTACCGAAAAAAGTTCCAGGTCATATCTGTATGATGGATTGCCTTTCAGACCAGTTTCAAACTGCTTTCTCTCATAGATGCGTGGACGAATTATTTCATCCTCAAGTAGCTTCCACCTGTCAGAAAAGGGCAACTGCATCCGAAGATTAAATAAAATGCAGTTACTACAGTTCAGAGTAATGCAAATGCTTCAGAATCACCCTATATTCATATATCTACGTAGATTAAAATCATTTACACACAAAATATTTCATCAGTGATTATCCAAATATTTCTATCAATCAAAATAATATAACTATATTCTTATCAATCACTTCTGATAAACTTGTAGTGCGCTATACTGTATTATTATCTCAACAACAATGATTTCCCGTGAAAGGTCAATGAGATCTGTGGTACTCATGCCACAACCCCAGAATAGATGAAATACAAAAAAAAAAAAAAAAAACAGGCGCATACACGTCATCAATTGGGAAGGTGATAAAATGGCAACTTAAGTTACTGATAACAGATTTGAAGTTTCTACCTTGACTTTGGAGGAGAAATTAATTGCCATTAGATCATACGCTAAGTACCTCCGCTTCAATCCACCACCTGGTATGGCGTCTACAACCATTTCTCCATCGATCAATGTAAAGTTGTGGAAACCCTTGAGTTATGAAAACATAGGTAAAGTAAAATTCTGCAATATAATGAAAGAAAAGAAAATGCACTACGCCTGTTATCCAAACCAAAAGTGAGGTCTTACATCGTTAACATTCCTAATAGGAAAACGCATCTGAACTCTTCTAAAGCAGAAGTTCCGGTCTATTAAGAAACAGCCATCCCGCATTATAAGCATCATGTATCGTGTTCCATCAGCTTTCCACGTAGCATAATAATATCTTTGTCTCAGAAGTTGCAGGTTTTCACTTTAAATTGAGACACAAAAGAACACAAGTTAGAGGAAGGGCCAAAACAGAAGCAAGAACACTATTAACAGCTATTATTTCTTAAAGGGCGAGACTCTTGTATTATTTTCTAATTAAAGAATGACTTCTTCCGTTCAACCTAGCTGAAACTAGTTGATGGCTGACCAACCTTTCTTTATTATAATTACATCGACACGAGTAACATTTTTCTTCTCGATTTTTTACTTTCAAGCAAAAAAAGAAAAGGCTACAATTACGGCAAACTAGTTGGCCATAACAGTATAGAGCGGAACGGCAGCAGGCAATTGTAAGAGCTAACGTTCAGTGCTTAGGGAGGGTATTACATTAAGCATGCATGGTGTCTGTATGTATTTCGATGACATAGGCACTCTCTTGAATGCTGACACATATGCTAGATGTGGACCAAAAATGGCAACATTAAACATGCAGTAGAATGCATCAACTATACCACAAGAGGAACTCTTCGCCATGGACAAAGTACCAGTCGGAGCAGCAAAAGGAGGTGGCTAGGCATTAAAAAAAAATTAGGAGTGCACGGCACAAAAGGATGAAGCAACATGACCTTGGACCAGGAGGAGGAACTTAAGAAGGGTGACATGTCATCAACTCATCATTTGGTTGTTAGGTGACAGATAATGGCAGATATGGAGATAAGATAGCAAGAACACAAAATGGATAGTAGGAGGAGCTGATGAGAAAGGAAGGGAGTTTATGCAAGTTTTACCCAAGGATATGAGGCTATAATACTGGACTATCCATACTCCAGTTCCAGTGAAAGGTTGGACTTGGTTCCTGATTCTAATTATGTTTATCCTTTCCTCTAGCTTCATTCACCTGTTTTTTGTTCAACAAAGGCTTAAGAGGCTTATAAATTAGAGCTACATTATGGTCAAACGATACTTGCATGTGCCATACTTTAGGATTTGCATGCCCTAGTTGGAACGAGCTCCGTGTATAATAAACAAAGAATCACATTCTCTTTCTTTACTATCTATTCGGCACATCAACCATTCTTGACTGCGGAAACATTTCCTCAAACAATGCTTCTGTCATCAAACTACAGCCGGTCAACTAATCCCACTTCCCGAATCAAATTTGATAGATGAGAGGTAAGAGATAGAGAGATATGTCTAAACAAAAGATACGTCTCAAGGAGCAAAATGAACATCAAGGTTATTCCAGACATACAAATGTTGTTCTATGAACCTTAAAAAGACAAAGGGTGTCAATCTACACGTTTACTTATATAAATAGTACACAGAAGGGTGTAATTAGGTAATTCAATATGAGGTGAGTACTGACTCTTATTGCTTGACAAAACGAACAAACAGCCTCTGCATTGGGTTAGAGTCATGTAACCCTATTATTCCATCAAAGCAAAATAACGACTGCATGCTAAAGCAAACTCTACAGCTATCACCTAGACATATTTCTTCCATATATGGCAGTCATCTGTCGCTTTACTCATAAATTCCAGGCGCAAACATGCAACTCCCTTACTTAGTATATAATATAATGTCACTATATGCACATGGCATATTGCCTATTGACTTCTACAAAGTGCAAAGAAATATTAGTGACCACAACAAAGTAGAAAAAAATTATGTAAAACGCAACCTCCAATGCATTACATAATAAGAAGCTAATGCCTTAATTTGAGGTATACGCTTGCCCTTAATTGTGTGCTCATCTCCAGTACGACATGATTTAGCATATAGTGGGGTTATTTGGTAGGAAGCTCCCTAAGAGAACATGCATTTTGTACACCAAGACCACTTTGCACAAACAGCATCTAAATTGGATTAAGTCATACCTGTTGAGGGAAACTGGATGAGATCCTGGAAATTGAGCATTAGCTCTACCCTGGAAAGCAAAAGGGTAGCAGAACACTATAAGAAGCTTTGCTTTTGTGGGCACAACGATTATACAGGGATAGTGTGGTAAGTTCAAAATAAAGGGATAACTACAGTTAAAATAAAAGGATACAAAAGAAAACAAGACAGTGAAACACAATGGATATGCACATAAAAACAAGCTTCAGTGAAATGATCTCCAACACCAGCAAAAGAAGTTTTCATCGTCACACCTATTCATTGAAGCTACAGGGCAACCTGGTGCATGTAGCTCCCGCTTTGCGCAGGGTCCAGGGAAGGGTCCGACCACTTTGGGTCTATAGTACGCAGCCTTTCCCTACATTTCTGTAAGAGGCTGTTTCCAGGACTTGAACCCATGACCTCATGGTCACAAGGCAGCAGCTTTACCACTGCGCTACAGCGCTAATAAATTAAAAATGGATCTTCATAGATTCTTCTGTGTCAAACTTCAAAAATTACTTGATACGAGACGAGTTAACCATCTGTGTTTGCAACAAGTTAACTGAATTCAGATTTTGATCAAATAAGATTCTTGAAACCATAGTACCATAGTAATCAAAATAGAGCGTAACTTTGTAAACTGGTTTGAGAAAATGAAACTAGTGATCGTATAATCAACATAGCTATGAGTACATACATAGTGGCACAGTGACAACCCAAACTACGCAAATGGAAGTGCTGATAACATTTTTCTGTCGGCATACAGCAAAGGGAACTACGTCATTAACAATTTTAGGGGTGGGGAAGACTGAGGAGTATGTGAAAGATGTGACTAAGAGCAAAAGACAGGTTTAAACTTACATTGGGTACAAAATCAAGTAACTTGAAACATATGCCACGCAAGATATCTTGCTGGTCAAAAGGTACAGCATCCCCTAGGACATCATCATTAGTAATGGCCTTGTCATCTACAGGATCCTACAATAAGCAGGAATATTTTGACAAACATTAGCAATATAAGAAAATGTTGTACGGAAGTATTGATACTTTAGTAGAACCCTGGACCTATCTAGTAAAAAGAATAACAGATTCACAAGGAAACAACATATGAGATGGCATGTAGGTGTTGATCCAAATTCAATGTGACCCATGTAAACTTCGTAAGCTTCAAAAACATCCTAAAATACTGTTTCATTGGCTAATAAATATGTTAGTGATTGGTGGATGTAGGGGGAAATGTATTATTTTGCATTGCTAAACATTTCCGTAATATTTCATGTCAAAGACAACAGTACATGAAAGGACCTCACTTTCTCCAAAGTACAATCAAAATCCCTTAAAATGTTGCTGGCATATAGAAAATATCTAACCAGCTGTTTTGATCATTTTCTAAATTTTGCATGCAAAGTTCACAGGAATACAAATGCTAGTTTACACCTTACACTACATTCGCCCCACATGCATTAACAGAGAATTGTCCAAACATGCATTAACAGAGAATTGTCCAAACATGTACTGGAATTAACACCTACCGGTGATGGTGCAGGCTCGCCATTGTCGTCATCGTCATCCTGCTTAGCTTCACCATTCAAATCAAGATCAGAAGGCCTCTTCCATTCCGGTGTCGGTGGACATGTGATACTTTCAGGAATTTCATGATAAAATGTATATAGTGCTTGAATGTAGTCGGTTTTATATATTCCTGGAGGCCGTCTTTGAGCAAATATATTTAAAGCCTAGCAAACAAAAGATTTAGCCAAGGAAACAAAAAAGAAATATTACAATAAATTACATTTGAAGCATAAGTTGTCTCACCTCAGTAACACTAGACAGTTGTGTGCGCATTAGGTAATGAACAATCATAAAACCAGTACGGTTATGCCCATGAGTACAGTGAACAAGTACATATTTGGGATTCCTTGATGGCTTCTGGCGCTCATGAAACGCCAACACCTAAAATTTAGCATTGATAGAGCTTCATCAGCTAATAAATTAGGTTAAAGGAAATTTAGCATAGATAGAGGAAATTTGCTGCAATTAGGTTATCAATATTCTGGTCTACGTGTTCCAACTGGAGAGACTACAAGTGTACACACTGAGTGTAGCCCGACAAAGTTGTTTCGGTATGAATACTCAAAATATATATAATAAAATAACTCATGGGTCATCTTACATCATTGCCGTGATGCTCCAGCATTATTTCATGATTTTTGAGAACTTTTAAGCCGTTAAAAACTTAACTAGTTCCCTGACACGAGTGATAGCCACATTCTTGCCTAGGGAACACAACACAGCACTTATATAATTTCACATACAGATCAGTATTTCTACAAATACATAAAAAAGCCATTGATAAGTTCAGACAAGGTCTACTAGCATTTCTAAAAAGCACTAGTTGGTTGGGATACTTTTGATTTGAGCCGTCCAAACTCCAAAGTGACTAGGGGAGGATATATAACATGTCCACAACCATCAGATGGGTAATTCTGAAATTAGATTGAAGTTTCTTCTGGACGGCTCATATCAGAAGTATCCCAACCAACTCATGTATATTGGTATGGATATAGATATTGTACTTACGGTCTTCCGAGTACAATGATCCAATGGATGTGGACAAGAACTTTTGCTTACTGGTTCTTTATGAGAAACTTCTTTAAAAAAATGAATTTCATGTTTTTGCTCTGAAGAAAATTCTGAACAATGTCTCTTGATTCAACATAATTACAATGATCAATATATATGGACTTATTTTCTTTTGTGCTTGTCATATGTTGCCATCTAGTATCTACTAGCATTTCTAAACAAGTTTTCTGAATTACATGTTTTTTATAGTTTTCTTCCACATCACCAATATGGAATGTAAGAAAGCATCCAAAAAAAGACAATATACTTATAGATGTTAAGATAGCTACTCCATCCGTTCGATGACTCAACTCTGTACTAACTTTAGTACAAAATTAGTACAAAGTTGGGTCATCTATTTTGGAATGGAGGGAGTAGTTTTTTTCATGTTTCGACTAAAGTCACTTTTCACGTGTGTGGTTACTAGTATTTCAACAATTGTGGATGGCTGAATGAAAAACAGCAGGTGCAAGCATACACTTGATCTGGTATCATTATTAATTTATTAGACTTCCATTCTTTTATACTAACAACACATAGGCACTTAACCTAACTATCAAGTGCAACACATACGCAACATATGTTATGTAACAATTTGTGGATGGCTGAATGAAAAACAGCAGGTGCAAGCATGCACTTGATCTGGTATCATTATTAATTTATTAGACTTCCGTTCTTTCATACTAACAACACACAGGCACTTAACCTAACTATCAAGTGCGACACATACGCAACATATGTTATGTAGCAACTACAGTATAGAGCACCATGTTCAAAACCTTGACGACAGGTGTTCACCATTTTTTTCCAGCAGTCCATTTCATAACCAACAATTAAAAAAGATGCCCAGAAAATTAAAAGAAGATTTTAAGTTTACATTCATGTCTAACCAAAAATACATCAAAAAAGCATACTGGCAAGGTCATCAAACTAGGAAGATAGGTTACCTCATACACAAATGTGTTAACAGCTTCATTTTCTGGTACAGCATCTCTCCCCCTGCAAGCTATCTGAAATGAACAGAAATGGCACAGGAATTATTTTTTATTAATGCTGGAATATACATATTACTATGTAAACTGAGGTCTCACTCTCACCTTGACATGTTTAGTACCTTGCTTCGTCCACTCTGCTGGCGAATAGTACCGAGAGGTATTTGTCAAGTCAATCACCAAACCTATCTGATAAAATAGCAGGGGGGGGATAGTTAATACAAGCAACAAGCTATAATGTGTTCCAGATTGATCAAATCAAGTACTCATTATGGATTGTATACCTCTCTTCAATAGCAAATAGCTAGAAGATAAGAAAAGAGACAATCAGCAGAAAGTACGGCAACTGAGAATTGAGATACTTAAAGCAACCGTTACAACTCCACTAGTACAAGTGTACTGTAAATTGCATTTATGAAATAATAAGTTTACCTTTAATGTGGCTAGAAAGACAGGCCTTTCGGTACAAATGATAAGGACTGAAGTTTAAAAATTAATTCACCTCCAATTTTAAGAAACAAGAAAATCAATTTACCTCTGTTCAGTTATGATTGCAAATGACAACTAACTAGTGGTAGCGCAATAGTATAGCAGTGGGGTCACAGGATCGCACTAAGAATTTGAGCAAAAGCACATACTACAAAGAAACTGGTACACAAGTCCAAAATATCACTAAAACATCATCGCCAGAAGCTATTTAGCTTTTCACCCGTAAGGGACCATACAGAATGCTTAATATATTCTCTCTAGCTCCAGTACTTGCTAACTAATCAATCAAGACATGCAAGATGCATGTCGATATTACTTTGTTCCCTGCCATATACTATGCTCTTTTCACACGATTTATTTTTTGCTTCAACAAGTATTTCAAAACGTCCATACTTTAGATACCTCCTCAAGTGTGCTCGAGGAGTCGGCATATTTGAGAAACAAGTTAGCAATCCCTCTGGCCTAATATAAGCCAGCTAATCATGGATCATACTATCATAGCAGACTAAATGAAACTAAATGAATATGGAACTGAGATATATAATTTACTCAAGCAATAGGTGACATGTGACCGTCAGTGCATAAGTGGGGGAAGTAGCACAAACATCATACACTCATACAAGAGAACGGGCAGCAATAACGACAATCATGAGTACAAACAGAGCATGGATAAAGAAATGCATGTATTCTGTGTCACAAACAACTTTATTCAAATATGCATGCTTCAAAGTAGGGCCAGATAACAGGAAAAAAGCACAATATCCAGTTTATAACATAATAAGTAATGGAATGTGCATTAGTGTCGTGTGAGTAGAAAACTGTACTTACGTCCCTGCCAGCCTTTCTTTGTTTATTAACAACTTGTTTGGAAGAATATCTTTTTCCAGGAGGAATCGACTCATTGAATGTTTCATCCAGCGGAACTTTAGAAGGTATGATTTTGTCTATTGGTTGACCAGATGCAGGGCAATCCAACCAACCTGAAAATAAGGACAATGTCAGATGCAAGGGTGACAAATATCAAAAATCTTTTTTTAGGCTAAGCATAAGTATTTTACTTACCGTAAGTATATAGGATAGTAATAGTTTAATTAAGAATCGACAAACAAGAATACGAACAAGACGTGACCATGGGACAATTCAACATGATTCACAAGAATATGGCTTTCAGATACAACACATACCCTGAGGTGTCTCTTTAACTCGTTTGTATCCGCCAATCTTGTTTTGGGTCACATGATCATTCCTAACCTGCTGTGGCCGCGGCCTTAGTCCATCATCTGGCTGATCTCTCTTCAACTTTCTGCGTCGTTCTTCTCGTTCCTATGAAATCCGGTAAGCGCAACATAAAAAAGGGTACCAATGAGACCATAATTAATTATATTCCACTTTGCAGCTTTGCTGTTCTATAGAACGCTAAACTTATAATTTAGTAACAAATAGAGCCACATGAGATTTTTAAGGGAAAATACAAAGAGGGACACATACAGCACAACCCACAACCACCACTCAGACCATCTGATCACCACACACACACACACACGTTGACATCTGGTACACACAAGAAGAAAATACTGGACACCCCACTTGATGTGACCACGCACTGTCGCACTTAACATGCATGAATGTGTAGTCAGATTAAATATGACAGACTGTAATGGTCCTAGAGACCGAATACAGGTGGTGGAAAGAACACCTTCGCTCTAGCCATAGGCCACAATCAGATCCCAGAACTACATTAACTGAAAGAAACATAAACCGAAAGCACAAAAACCAACGCCGCATGGCTACCAATAAAAGTAACATGATGACATAGTTAAACTTCAAAAGAGACAATACCATGGTCCTTAACATACCACTTAAAAGGTAAAAGTCACATGTACCATGGTTACAAATGACAGAGTTCACAACCATGCCCTCGACTCAAGGAGGACCTTCAACTAATGCTGCTAAATACACCATCAATTATATTATATTACATATGCACATCTTGCAGTTTACGATTATCAGCACCGAAGTAGAAAAGCAATCAGCTGATGACACTAAGCTCCATCTATACAGATCAGATGCATGTGCATGATTCATTTTATGGCCAGAAGGAATGATTTTATTTACCCTTCTCATAATCTCAACAGCAGACTCGACATGATCTTCATCGTCCTGTCCAAAATCAAGCTCAACTGGCTCTTCATGGTCATCGTCCTCGGGCAACGGTGATGCGTTCAAATCCATTGAGGACCCTTCAAGGTATCTGTCTCTAGATAACCATTAGGAACAGATACCTGATAAGAGGTGGCAGAAAGGGCGTCTTGTGTCAGACAGACTAACCAGCATAATACGCACTGGACGAACACGGTCACCCCTAAATCAGAACTAATTTTAACTGCAGCTGACGAGTGCGACGCAGTGAAGTCACGGGTGCTCATCCAATGCAAAAATCAGGAAAAAAAAATGGAACGAACAGAGGAT